AAGTCCCGAAACATAGAATGTGTTTTCAGAGAGGAGACGCTGTTCTATTCTGCACAAGGGGCAAGGCAGAAGATTTCCACAAATCAAGCACGCCACATGCAAAGTTTACAGTGCATTTGTCTTGATACCCAATTAGCAAAACTCCATTACATTAATTGGTACAAAGTTAATTAATCTACTTCCTATTGGCTAATTAGTCCACATGCACAGCATTCCCCTTCTTCTGGGTAGGAGGGTTTGTTGAGTTGGTATGTGAGCCAGTGATCGCCATTTCCCCCTGACATATTTACCTTTCCCCCAGTGTCCAAAACTTTTGCTGACTTCTTTCTCAGGACACCATCCAGCCTTTGGCACCATTGTGGGCAGGATGATTGACTTCTGAATCGGTCTTTTTTTTGAATTGCTCTTCAAGAGCACAGTCATCAGGGAGTGCAAATAAACAGATTTAGGAGTCCTTCTGTTACAGAACCAAGTCTTTTGCTGTCCTAAATTTACATGCCAGAATGCTTCTTTATATACATATGGTTTCTTTCCTTTACCGTGCATTAACAATTTCACTGCATCATCAAGGTAGCAAGACCTCTGATGTCATCACATAACTGTGTCACCACAGGTCTTTTGATATAATTTGTGTCCACTAACAACTGTAATGAAAGAGGAAGCATGCTGGACTAGCAGCTTGTCACACTCCAGTCAGAGACCAGGACAGTGATCTTTGTTCAAATTCCTGGAAACAGAATTAAGACTCAGAACGAAGTAGCTTTATTTGCCCAACAGCTGGTGCCCAAATAAGAAAGGAGAAAGAGAGAGAAAGAGTTACCACCATGGATCATTGATGCTTTGTCAGTCTGATCTGTTGTCCAGTCTGGTGGGAGAACATGCATTTTGTCCTTGCGTTTCTTCCGTTGTTGCTTTCTGTATGTTCCCTTCTGTGCGGTTTTTTTCATGTTGCTTGTTTTTGGCTTATACTGGCTGTTTTGTTACATATTCATTAGTTTCCACAAACCATTTAGCACATTCCGTGAACTGTTTTGCCTAACCGCCCCCACCACTCGGCAGTGGTACACATGCCCAACACTGTTGCTTGGGCGTCTCAGACCCCAGGTCTGGGCACATGTGTTTGGGTTAAATTAGACTCCTTGGACGTGGTGGCAGTGGTGCAACAGCGATGTTGAGACAATAGCTAATATAGTCTCTGACACCACCCTGTGGCTCAACATTGGTGTCTTAGGAATTCTGCAGTGGCAAGGAAAATAGGGGTAAAGAGAAAGAAAGAAAGGAAAGAAAGGGCAAAACCACATGCATAGCAATTAACAACAGCTAATAACTATGTATAAAACTCTGAGCATCGCAAACATTAGGCAAAACTATATAAAGACATGATCGATTATCCTCCAAGGCTCTGACGATTCAGAGTTGGTTAATGGCAGTGCTTCTAATTGATGTCTGAAATGGTGGCCACACAGTCTGCTATACTGGTTTGTCGGAGTCAGGGTTCCTTCAGCTTAGGCCTTTAACGAGATGTAACTTTAACAATATTAACAACATTAAAAGTTTAACAATAACATTTTAGGTTGGAAGAGGGAGAAGGGTTAGGTTTGGGGGGGATTAGCAGAGGAAGGAGAAGCAGGTTGTTTCTTATAACAATTAGATAAACCATAAAAAGAAATATAATTATATACACAACATAAACAGAAAATGAGACCCAAGCAACTATTCCCAAGGTATCCATTTCCCACCCTGAGCTAATCTGGTATTTATTGAGGTTGATGGCAGATCAAGGTCACTTTGTTTTGCAGGCTTCTGCGGTTGCTGCTTCCCCGGTCTGCTGGAGTAGGGGTCTGCATATGCAGTAACAAAATTGATCACCACACTCCCTTGGATTAGAGTGCATGTGTTATTTGGGCCTGGAAGCTCCTATCCTCTGGTTTACGCAAAAGCAGAGGCAAATAAGCCATAACACTATAATTTTGTTAATAGTTTCTTACACCATTTCTTTGCTTCAGGGTATATTTGTGATGGCTGTGTATTTAGCTTGTTTTATTTTCTCCCTCCATACTTGCAGGCTTGATATTTCATAGTATACCAAATTAATGTGAGTATGAGCAGTGAATACAGAGTCTGTTGACCGTATCTGACCGACTGGTAACACTTGCTGCAAGCTCCCACAACCCCCTTAGGTGTCAGAAAGAGGCAGATGAGTAGTACCGAAATACCTCGGAGTCCAGTAAAACATACATTCCCACTGCTCATGCCTATTGGGTGGCAACCAAGAGCTGAGCACTTATTCTTCTGAGTGGCGAATATAGAGGCTAATCTGGTCTTGTTCCCAAGTCAGTACAAATAATCTGCCTTTATTTGGGCGTTGTCCCAGTGAGTTCAGCAAAATCTCCACTTTCTTTTTAGATCCAGGTATTTTATTGTTCATCTACACCAATCACAGAAGTAAGTCACATAGTCTTTGGTCTTTACTCATATTCTGTGACTGCAGTAACTGCAAGACACAATTATTACAATGTGACAAGCCTGGCACTTAGTGCACAAGTATGGGTTTGGGTCCATCTATGTTTCCCTGGGATATACTATCAGTCTGATATCCCATCTATATCCTATTTATGCCCACAATAGACTTGTTGCAGGTCTGCTTGTCTCTATATTTTGTCTTGTCTTGACCAATTTTTACACTGATAACAAAGAGGTTTTCTTCCTCGGGTAATAAGTAACTACTTCCACAACAGTGATATACAGTAGACTTATCTGTATTGTAATCGTTTATGCATACTACTTAGCTTGTTTTATAAATCTTATATGTTTTACTCTATGAAGTGAAGTCACAGTAATTGCTTGCATGTTGGTCACTATGTTTTGGCTCAAGCATGGTATAATGTAATGTAAAAACATTAAAGCTGCTGGCCCACATGAGAGGTAAAATAAAAGTAGTTTCACCCATGGTGTCTCTGGCAACCAGGACCACAAATCGACATTCCAACTATTCCATGTTTGAGTGGGAACATGGGCTATCCTCCTAATATCCATGGTTAGCTGAAGAACCACTTCACCCATATTGCTGATTTCCAAACAACAATTAGAAATATTTAATTTTCCACACACATCTCCCTCTTCGGTCCACAAGTAATCTAAAACTATGTGATGCTGAAGGATTGTGGTGTGCATCTGTTGAGATTGCTGATTCAAAAGATCTATAGCTGTAGCAGTTTTGTTGGTAATGATCTCCAAAACTGCTTGCAACCGAATTATGTGATTTAGATTATAAATTGGTTCCCTTGCCCCTGATATTGGCTCATTAGGATTCCAAGTGGCAGGTCCATAATGTTTTATTATCCTTTCAGGAGGCCAATCGTTTTCCCCCCACTTTTGTGTTCCACCTATAGCAATCTCAACAGATCGCTTGTTGCAAGCAACACTTGTGTCACCCAAAGTATCATACACTGTTATTCCTAGTTGAGGTTCACCTGTTTCTGGAAGAAGGAAAAACAGAGGTTAGATAATATCCACATAACAAATACCTGACAAGTTTGCTGGTAGTTGTTTATAGGCAAGCATGTCTACAAATCCAATAATGGCCTTTTTTAGCTTTGGTACTGTTAGCAAATGGTCCAGCTGCTCTCTTTGGGAACTGGAAATAGGTTGTGTTACCATCTCCCAAAGAGCTGAAAAAGCTGGTTGGGTAATTGTCTGTCTCATCGGTATAATATCAGGCACCAGTGTTGTTTTTTCACTCACAAGTTTGATTGTAATAACAGAGGTGAGATACCACACAGCATATAATTCTTGCATGCGTTCTTCAGTGGTGAGGCTAGTCTGATGATTTGGGAAACAAAACAAAACACTTGCTGAGTTCTCAACGGAACCGTCATTAAAATGATGGGATAATCCAGTGAGTGTTTATTTTGTGCTCTTTTGCCCAGGCATCCTTGGCCTTCCAAGCATTTATTCAGGGGCTCAGTGAACACGAGGGGAACAGCTCCAATGGTTGGCATTTCTGCCAGTACTGGCTGTCCAGGAGAAAAAGCTGGCTCTCCCGGAGTACTGAGAGTTTGAGGCTTTGGGGTTAAAGTTGGGAGTTTAGGACAAAAGGCATTCAGCCGAAGGCATCCATTTATCCCCTAGCAATCATTGTCCCAAGTAACTGCATCTCAAAAGCGTTGTACCCAATGTGGTTTGTGAGGTTTCAGAAATTGCTCTAAGAGCCCATTAGCTCGTTCCATGATCCCGTTGGCTTGGGGATAATAAGGGGTGTGGAATACCTACTTGATTCAATCCTCCCTTGCCCGTTCCTGCACCTTGGCAGCAGTGAAATGGATGTCATTGTACTGATAAATTTTAACTCCAGGTTACAGTGGGATCTGAGTTAGTTCCTGTGCCAAGACATGATGTGTTAAAGTGGGAGAACATTTGTAATCCTGAGGGAGGCAAGTGAAAGTATACTGTTGTCCCTCCAATGTAAATGCAAAATGATCATGGTCACTCTCCTGCAGAGGAACCATAAAAAACATGTTTCACATTGATTGTAACCATGACTCAGTGAGCTTGTTCCTGGATGAGTAAGATAAGTTCAGCTATATTGGGTAGCTGTAGCTATATTCAGCTACATTGCCGCTGTCAAGGGGCCAGTATTAGACTGGGGAAATCCTTTCTCAGGCCCCCAGAGGCAGGAGATAAGGCTTAATGCTAGTTAACCAAGAAGGAGGAAGCAGCAGTGCAGCTTGCAGCAGGCACATTTCTGCACAAGATGTTTCAGTTTAGAAGTAACTTTTTGCCCCAACCACCTTTCCACGAGCTTTTCCAATTTCGGGGTCAGAAGCCCATCCATCAGGTCTCAGGGAATACCTTTCTGAAGCCCCAGCTGCCACCATCCCTGTCAACTTAGGGGCCTCTCCCTCCTGGGATAATTGCAGAGAAATGGTTTAAAGTCCTGAGTCACCCCAATCGGCAGTTGCTGCTCATTAACTCTTTCTACAGTCCATACAGCCCTAGTTTTAGTCCTTTGGCACAATCCAATATGGCATGGGGCCATATTTTCTCTCAAAATTAATCAGTTCCTGGACTACTTCCCCCCACATCCACACTTTCCTTCCTGATCTCTGACTGGGGGTCACCATCCCCTCCAAAGCAGCTGTAATTCTCTCTCCTTCATGAGTGTTTTCAATTTTTCCTTGTAATTTAATCCCAGTGGGTTTTAGGGAATTGGGGAGTCCTCGGATCAGAGGGGTCATTCTCTCTGGGTCCACAGGCATCATCATCATCAGGGAAGCCTGGTTAAGTTTGGGCTTCTGGTCATACATCATTTGGAGGCAGGCTGCCTTTTGCACTTTCCACCAATAGATTCACTGTGCCTGTTATGACAAGGGGATCTCCTCTCTCCGAGGGATTCAGACCTCCAGCCCAATACACTGCCCTCTGCGTTAATGACCAGGGGGTTCAGCAATTGCTGGTAGTTAAAAACACACCCAGACCCCAATACCCTTCTGCTTCTTTCTCTGATAACAAAATTGCATCTCCACTTGACAGAGATACTCTCCACACATATTCCATCCCTGATTCCTTTGGATATCTTGCAAAATCCTTCTTCAATTTTGCTAATTCAGTTACGGTAAATGGAACGTCTTTAGCCACAACTTGAGGATGGTTAAAATAATTGTCTTTATATGAATACTCTCTTTTAATCAAAGGGCACATGTGAGGTAAGAGTATTTATGGTTTTTTTCGCCCTCTGTAAATTGCCCTGAGGCTAGATTTGCCTAATCTTTCTCTCATGTAGTTTCACTTCTACCTCAGCATGTGTATCAGCTTCCTTCCACAATTCTTCCTTTAATGCTTTTTTCAGTATACTGTTTTGATTTCTCTCCTCTAACATTTGCTTGGTATCTGCTAGTTGTTCTTGGAAGGATTTAACCAGCATTTTCAAGCAGTTTATCATGTCATCAGATTGAGACTGTATCTGTCTTCTCCTGTCTTCCACTGCCACTGCAAGACTCGCTCACAAAACGGCACAAATTATGGCTTTTCCCTTTCCTGATCCCACTTTAGCCTCCTTCTGCAAGATCTTAATCTTATGCACTAGGTCCTGTGGTAAGAACCAATTATTTTTTGCCCAGTCTCACCCTTGGGAACACAGATGAGAGTGATACATCTCTAAGAAATCATCTAGTTTGTCTAAGTCCCCACTTGATGAGGGGCCAGATTCCTGAACATGCATACTTGTATGAGTACTCATTTCACCAGAGACGGGTCACTACATCCTGAGACGATCTCACTTTAAATTTTCTACCACAATAACCCCCTTTCACTCTCAGGAGGCCACACCTTGCAAGTTTCTAAATGAGATACCAAATTTCTCGGGGAGGCCACACCTTATCAACACTTCTACCCCAAATCTTCCCCAAAAGGCCACACCTTAAAAGTTTCTTTCAAGCTTTCCAGTCATTCAATTCTATTGCTTCATCCTTCTCCAGCTGTTTTCCTTGCGGACAAACAGAACCGCGGATCTGGACTCCGCACTCGCTTCGTACCAAGGTACATTTCAGCCACACACACATACAGGAGTCTCTGTAAAGCAACCGGGCACTTTCTGTTTTCCAAGAGTCCCACTCTGACACCAATTAACTGTCACACTCCGGTCAAAGACCAGGACAGTGATCTTTGTTCAAATTCCCGGAAACAGAATTAAGACTCAAAACCAAGTAGCTTTATTTGCCCAACAGCTGGTGCCCAAATAAGAAAGGAGAAAGAGAGAGAAAAAGAGGAGTGAAAGAGTTACCACCATGGATCATTGATGCTTTGTCAGTCTGATCTGTTGTCCAGTCTGGTGGGAGAACATGCATTTTGTCCTTGCGTTTCTTCCGCTGTTGCTTTCTGTATGCTCCCTTCTGTGCGGTTTTTTTCATGTTGCTTGTTTTTGGCTTATACTGGCTGTTTTGTTACATATTCATTAGTTTCCACAAACCATTTAGCACATTCCGTGAACTGTTTTGCCTAACCGCCCCCACCACTCGGCAGTGGTACACATGCCCAACACTGTTGCTTGGGCATCTCAGACCCCAGGTCTGGGCACATGTGTTTGGGTTAAATTAGACTCCTTGGAAGTGGTGGCAGTGGTGCAACAGCAATGTTGAGACAATAGCTAATATAGTCTCTGACATAGCTCCAAGGGCAACTTGGCTTTAGAAGGCCAGCACACTTGCATAAACGAGCCTGGTGCTCCCACAAAGTTTCTTAACTAGCTCTTTCTCCTTAAAACTGTGGTGATGTCCATTACATAGGCAGACCTCCGCGAGCACGTTAGCCAGCAGGTCACAAATGCAGCACTACAGCACAACAGGGTTTGTTCACAGGGGACAAAACACCTCTGCCTCTCTCTGTCAGCTACAGTAACCCCAAACACAGGCTGTAAAAGTCTCAGCGCTTCATACACAATCACCCAAAGAATGTCGACTGCAATTGTGATTTCTGTGACGAGGGACAGCATAACAACCTCCTCCTCCCTCATGCTCAGAGCACACATAGGTCTGGGCACACCATTGTGAAACAAAATATGGTGCATCCTCCACACCTTTCTTCAAGCCCTGAATATCATCCCTGCATCTGCCCTAGCTCTCATGCACACTCACTTAGACAGGGCACACTTGCTACAGAATACAATTCATTTCATTAGGCTGTGCCCTTTCTAGCTTCATCCTTACTCAAGACATCACAAACAGTTTTGCATCAGTGGAAATAACAACAGCCCCTAAGTTAGGACTATTATCTGCTCACAAACAACTTTGCAAAATCCTGGTAGTCAAGTTGGATCTCTTATGCTCTGACGTGCTTCAAACTGAAGCAGGAAATTCTAACTTAGCAAAAAGCATATATTATCATTATTTCTGGACAGCTTTTAAATTGTAAAAAGTAGCCATAACAAACAAAAAAGTAAATAATTCTGAAGAGATTTCCATGAATATGATACAGTAATAAAATGCTGTATAAGAAATGTTTATCTAGATCAACTGTGCTTGCCTCTGAATAGTTGCAAAATAATGTAGGAAGATAAAACTACATATATTTCCAGTGAAAACAAGGAACTGGAAAGCTAATTTGTCCTGTTCTAGTCTTGAGAAACACATTTAACACCATGTCATTACCACAACACATCAGGAAAAAATCCCAACCCACCAAATCTTTTGCAGGTCCTTTGTGAAGCCTTTTGGTATCATTCACAGCATCCACACTAGATTTTCCCTACGCTATATCCAGAAAGCTTTCTAGAATTTTTTGAAACAATGTTTTTTTATTTAAAACCTCCTACTGGCTTGAATCATAGCCTCCTGAAGTTATGCTGTATATGAAAGCCCGCAGATAAAAGCATGCCAATACTGAATGTAGAAACAACTCCCTTGCAGCTTTTGAAGGTGACATTATCTTTGGAGAGGAACAAATACGAAGAATTCAGAAATATTTCAGCAGTAAGATTAGATTTGGTGTTTTGTGGAACCTGGCTTTGTTTTCACACAGTTTCAAAAAAAAAAAAAAGTATAATTTCTCAGTGACATTCCACAATTATAGCGAAAACAGCACTAGTTACAAATAGATTTTCTCTCTGTAGAATTCTGTTTTCTAAAATGAATGTAAAGCTTTACAAAAAGTTCTTATTTTTCTGATGCACTGAGTTATCAATCGAAACACAGTTTCTGTAATATAGATTTTGAACCCCAAACCGCTTAAAAGTCTTGCCTGGCAGATTAAAGTAACCTGTAATCTCTTAATTTGCAGCTTTTCACTATACACAATCAGTGTGTGATTGTCAAGTTATGTACTTACACAAACAAGAAAATCTGAATTCTACAGTTGACCTGAAACCAAATGTTCTGCCTGGATTTTTACCCTAAGTAACAGTGTTGGATCCGGTATGATTACATATTTGCACGTAAAGCCTGAATCTCACATTTACACAGGTGCCTGACTTTTCTGACACCAGATAACTCCTCTTATTTCAGTCAGGATGAGGGCTGCCTGCCAAAATTGCTCTTCCATCCAGGTTCTCTCCATAAGTGGATTTTTCACACACACAGAACAGCAGCCTCATACAAGCTTCCCAAGCAGGCATAGACATGAATTATGGCATCTTTAGCAAAACACCCCTTGCTTCATTCTTTTAAAAAAGGCAAAGGTGCCTAATTGCAGGTAACAGAGAATTGCAAGTGGAAGCTGATGTTCCTCTGACCTTTACAGCTAAACATTTAATCACCAGAGAGGTGCATCCTGTCCTTGACTTTTCCTACAGCCACTCCCTCATCCCCAGACATGAATTTCATTCTTTAGTACCCAAATCTCACCTGGCTGGAATAGAAGCATCCCCAACCCAGCGCAGGACTCAAAGTGCCATTCTGGGGTAAGGCACCCAAACAGGCTGGGAAGCTCGCACTCTGTCACTTTGTGGATCCAGCCATCACATACAGCAATGTAAATCTACTGAACTCAATTGACTAGATGAAGTTTTAAGCTGAGCGGTAAATGCTGATTCTGCTTCCTCCTCTCTGAAAAATTCAGCAGCTGGCCTCAAGTGAGCTATTAACACAAGCAATTTTATTGTCTTGATATTTTAATTTGATGCAAAGCAAAACTTGGAAAATGTAATAATAAATAGATAAAAGGTACTATGGCTATTGCTAAGCTATTATATAAATCTGTATCACAACATATGATAAAGTTACTTGCAGTGTGGTTAAGTACTTGCTATGATCTACTTAAAGGCCATCACCATCTCAGATTTTTCTGGTTTGAACTTTGGAGTTTCATTAGAAATGGTTGAAGCATGCTTCAGAGAGACAAAGTACCTTCTCTCCTCTTCATTTAACATGTGTATGTGTTCTGTTTCAGTTTGAGAATTATTTCAACAGAAAATACTATAGTTCAGAGCAGTTAAAATACCAGAAGTGGCATCAGCTCACCTTTTCCTTCTCTTGTGCAGCCTCCATTAACAAAGATCTAGTATTTGGCATTGAAAAAAAATTTACAAAGATCAATGTATAGAAGTTAATCTGTTGCCAGGCCCTTGAATGTCATTACAAAATTTAATGCATACACTGAGGTGGCACAGGATAGGTATGGAGATACTCAGTTACTTGCAATGCATTGCACCGTTCACAGTATCTACATTTTTATGTACCAAATAATAACATTGATTCCCTCAGCCACATTGCTGAGTTCTTCAGCAGCTGCATGTACTACCTGAAGCATCAGTTGTGTAGTGTTGGAAAGTTATGAAGAGTATTCAGAGTTTGGGATGCAATTATTTTAACACCAGTCATTTTTTTTTCCCCAAATAGATTTTAACATGTCTTTCTGTATTACTGCTCCTCTACCACATTTTTCTCTTACTGTAACTTTCTTCCATAGGTCTTTTTAAGGGCTGAAGCTTTACGAGTGGGTCAGATCTAAGCATGTCGAAACCTGTTTGCTCAATTTGAAAACAAAAGTTACAGACTGTAGTGCTTTCTTCCTGGCCTGATAAGCACTGCCTAACCTGGCATAGTAGTGGTAGGGTTCTGGCACGTAACACCGAGTTTGAAAAGCTGCATTATCATTACTATGAACAAGAATTTAGATGAGGAAAAATAAGTGTCTTTTTAGTTAGTTTAAAATGATAGTTGTGACAAACTGAACTGTAATTCATAATGAAAGGGCCACCAGTCTCTGGA